AATAATTACTTATGACTAGGTTGTTGTAAAAACAGTCACATCTGAACATAAGTTGCATGGTCGTAATAAACACTAAAATTTTGTGATAAAATTCATGCTTTATTAGGGAGACTCAAGCCATTAAGCAGAAATAGGCAATTGACATACATATCGCAAATTACCAAACATAAAATATTTATTAAATATAAAATACACCAACCGAGCATTCTAATTGGCTAAACGCACATGTGTTCCGTTTTTATAACTTTTGACACAAGTGGATTTTAAACTCTCCATATTTACCAGTATTTTGTTTCATCTGTATATTCCACGAGACGGAATTGGAATATCTTCAACTCAATTCAGCGTATTTCCCTGTAGGAAAGAAGTTATTACCGTAAATGGCTTTGTATCACATAGACCCCTGACAAATTTAATTTTCACTTTGATGTCTCCAGAGTCCAAAACACCATTAGTTCAATTTTTAATTGATACACATACATATACATAGTTAAATATTGATATAAACGTCAAAGATATATGGGTAATGTGTAAATGTGTGTGATGTGATTTTTAGGAAGAGTGTCCGTGAACACAATAACTTCGAGCAATTTTTGTCTGATTTTGATTAAATTTGGCATAATGTGCAGGACTGGATGGACTGGAATGGGTTCGCAAGCCACCAACAGGCAAAGAGAACTTTTATATTGAAGCTTGTTGACAGAGCACTTTAAATTCATTACATTAAAATATTAAGTTTGATATAAAGGAATAACACTGTTAATAGTTCAGAAAACGAAGACAAAAAAATACCAAACAGAGGAAAAAATTCATGTATAAGCCAAATTTTTTACATACTAAAAGTGTTGATCGATGGGTTGTCATTTGAGAAAATATTATAAATAATACGGCGTTCGTGAGCTTGCCAACCCCTTAATCTTGGACCAATTTTTAGGATTTAAGTGTCAAATTGCTGGACGTTTTGTCAAGATTTCAAGAATATCGGTTATATTGATCTTACCATTGGCTTTACCAATCCACCTAGGCTTTACCTTTTGTAGCCTATACATAAAGTTGATAGTTTTCAAGTTATTTACGAAAAACCTACAAAAGTGACATTTAAGCTGGGTTTTCCTAGGCGCGGAGTTGGCGAGCGGAGAGAGGAACGCGGAGAGCGGAATTGAAATTAACATGGCATTCCGCTCCCCTTCTAGGAAAACAGTAACATTAAATTGCCTAAGACAAGTGGAGTCCGCTCTCCGCGTTCCTCTCTCCGCTCGACGATTCCGCGCCTAGGAAAACCCGGCCTTAGAGCCAACTAGCCCCCTTAGCTCCACCCAAGATGTATGGAGTAAAGGATTTTGAGCATTCTCCATGCATCTTGAGCAGCTTAAGCCGAATTTGGCTTATACATGATTTTCCCACTACAATGTCTTCATTGCCTGGACTATATCGAGTTAATAACAAAACTGTAATTTCAAAGTAAGAAAAACTATGGTTAATTTTGACAGTAACAATTTCAAAGATAACAGTTCAAAAATGATCTAACAATTGTATCAGACAAGTTGAAAGTTGTACTATAAAATTGACCTAGTGAAAATTAGACATTACATAAAAATGACGATAAAATAAATCATTATATACAAGGTAGATCACTCGGAGTCCGTATTTACAAATCCACATTGCAAGTCTTGTTAATTCAAATACCTTGACTCAGCGTTACGGCTTATAATTCATTCCAAACTTTTGACGTCGAAGGAAGTAGTTTTAAGTTTTCATCAAGTTGTCGCAGCATGAATAATGCAGTGTTTAAACTGTGAATCCTGGATGCAAAACGTTTCTGGAGGAAATACAATGATCAGCGTAAATGTTGAAGTATTAAAATTATATAAGGTAAAATGAAGTTGTGAATAATAACAATGTATACATAGGTCTTTTTCTTGTACTTCATCGCTAGTGTAAATTAAGCTGTTACCAAAGTCAATTTTAAATACGAATAATGCATTTTTTCAAAGATGTGGACATCTTGAGGCGGGATGTTGTATTAAGTCTGTTCTTTTTATCATATGACTAGCTGTTGTACCCGTGCTTTGCAACGCGGGAAGAGGACACAAAATAGAAACATTTTAATCTTTACATTTGTTGCATATAATAGTAACAAATCCGCCAACGCTTTTAGAAACAAAATTCTACTTTTATGGCCTTAATATAAACGTTTAAGTTATGACTTATAAATCTGGTAAGTAGTGGATACCACCATTTTGGTTTTGATTAATTTTAAATCTTGTGTAGGCTGATATGAGAAAAACTTACCAAATCTTCGAACAAAACTTTGACACATGATTTACCTTCATCTCCCTTAATTACATATCTTTTAATTTATTATTGACATTTTAAATTTCAATTTTGAAGTAGCAAAAATACTAATTATTAAATTTAAATGATTTTTTTTTATTTCACTCTTCTTTATATTAAATCACAAATCCTCCCATCTTCAGTTTCTTCACTCACAATAAATCATTAGCAAAACTAAGTCAGCAGTTATAAACTAAATATTGCTGTGCCTTATCTATACAATCTTTTGAAATATTAAAGAAACTATACCTATAGGTAGGTACTGTACTATAAAAAATTTCAAACAAATAATTTAGCATTAAAGACAGCAGACAAAACTTATATGATTATCAAAGCATCAAGGACTAAAAAATGTAATAGCAAATACAGAACATGTTTCATTGCATCTCTGCTTCTACTCTACAAAAATATAAACGAACAACTTAATATACAAACCAGTTCTTTTAATCAGTTCCATGTACATTGCCTTTACATTTTCACACTTACCATTAAGTAAACATAGTAACAGATATTTCATTGATTTTAGAAACAACAGACCACTGTGTACTGCTTAGTTTTATGATATTTTCCTTGGTTTATTTTAATCAGTGTTGTGGCAAAACACAAATAATAAATGTAGCAAATAAAGTGAATGTGAACTGAAAGCTATGTTAAGATAAAATAAGAGTATTTTGTATTACAATTTGATAATTAAATATAGTTACACATATACAACAGATTTTAGAAAACAAAAATCAACGAGTTATTTATGATATTCTTTAGTTTAATTTAACCAAAACAGTAAGTTGGTTTAGCAAAACACAATAAGTTAATTTACCTAAATATACATATTAAAAACAATGTGATGTGCAAGTTAATCTAACACATGTTAAGCAGTTAGAATTTATTGATTTAAAGTTGCCTCCAAATTCATACAAAACATCTATACATTGTAATTTTCATACTGTTTCCATGATAACTTATCAATAAGATTATTTTCATAAATTAGACGCTTTAAAAATCCAAAGCAGAGCCGGAGTTGATACAGCAACGGTTATAGAATCTTTTTTTTCTATAATCATTGACATAGTTTTAGAATAAATAATCCATGATATAAGGTTAGATTAAAATAAACCTACCTCATAGTCATGGAAAATATTATATTTAATTTCTTTGTATCAGCTGTCTGAAATTGTGAAATATGCAGTTTAGCAGTTCTTCTTGTTTACATTTAAATGTCAAAGCAAATGTAAACAAACATTGTAAGTGTTCTCATCGCAGCCATGGAGACCAATCAATATTTACTTTTAAAATGTTCACCTCAGAACTTTTAAAGCCAAAGGGGCAAAGCCTACGGTCAGTATCGAAATGTGAATAATTCTATAATGGTCCTTGGTATTGTAGCTATATTTTTGTAAAATTTAAGCCCAGTTGGTTCAGTAGTTTTTGCACCTGTAACACACATACAGACACCATTAGATTTTTATATAATAGTATAGATTTATTTGTGTTTAAATATGTTTTGTTGTCAGATGATTTTTGTAAACATGTTTTTGTAAACATTGGTTTAGTTTGGAAATAGAGTTTGATGAAGCAAGATGTGTGAATAATATTATTGTATAAGAAATAGAAAAATCCAAGCGTTGAACGAAATGGGAAACAACTGCATCAGCTGATCGTAGTCGTAGTACAGTATCTTTAAGTTATCTGTGTTGCCAACCTATTTCCAAACGTACACGGATTACGTAAATAAAAGCACGCTGCTTTGTGTATTATGTTGGAACACTGGTGTGCGGAAAAAAATAGTTCGGCAAAAAAGCGTGCGGAAAATGCAGCAATTAGCAACTTTCTGTACTATAATCAGTGCAAGGAAGTTCTTTTTGTCAGGTGACTGTTGAAAAAATATTTTCCAGTTTGCTTTTCTTTGTAGATTCTTAATAGATGAATCTTTATACGTGAGTATCTAGGAAACCGATTGCATAGAAATCCATTTGAGCTGGAGCCAACGTGCTACGTCCATTTTATGTAGTGAGTTTCTCGAAAGACAATTGGAGACACATTACCAACACATTTGTATTTTATTGCTCAATAATATTATAACAATGGTTACACGTTCGTTCAAGTTATTCTTTTCCCTGACATATGAATTCAGAAAATATCGAAGTCCTTAAAAGTCCCAGATAGAATGTAATGTTTTTCTTGACTAACAATAATCTTTAGAATATTTATATGCGTTTTCATATTTTTTTAAGGTAATTTTTTGTGATGGTAGGTTTATTGTGTTATATGATGTTTTTCAGCTTTAGCTTGGTTTATTTAGTAATCTTGTTATTTTTTAGGGACTTTCTTGCCTGCGGACGGGAACAGGGTCCAGATCCCTAAACTTTTCAAAACTAGTTTTGTTGATGTTGTGGAATAGTCTGCAATAGTTCTACAAACTACATTTTCGGAAAGTAATTTTAACAATAATATCTAGTGTAGGAAAAATTGAATAAAGATTTAATTCAGATTTAATTCTTCGGCGCACGAATGTAACGTTATTCAACTATACCTTATTTGGTTCGACTCTCCACCGATCCTCTACAGTGAAAGATCTCGGAGTAACTGTTTCCTCGAATCTAAGTCCAGAACCTCACTTAAGAAACATAAGTAAGAAGGCTTATTCTGCTCTGGGATTTGTTGTCCGAATGTCTCGAGATGGGTTTTCACCTCATGCCCTAAGGACTTTGTATGTGCAGCTGGTCCGCCCTTTGTTGGAGTACTGCTCGCCAGTTTGGTCACCATACCTGATATGCCATGTTGATCTTCTCGAGGGTGTACAGAGAAAATTTCTCCGAGTACTTGGAGTGAGTCTGGGCTTTCGCTACCTTGAAGTACCACTGGATGAGATGGAACGTCGGTTTGGACTTCTTCCTCTGAGTTCGAGACGCAAAATCTTTGATCTGATGCTCTTAAGGAAGATCATCACAGCCTCGGTCGATTCACCAGATTTGCTGAGCAGGGTTGATTTTCGTTGTGCTCGGGTGGTTCGATCCAGAGGACTCTTTGAGAGAGCTCATTGTTCGACACTGTACTCTTACCACAGTGCTCTGCCTCGCCTTCATCGTCTGGGAAACAGCCTGCCCAGTTACATCGACCTGATTCAGTTCTCCGAGAATCGTCTTAGGAGGGAGCTAACCAACTTCTACTCGTCGGAGGAGCATGTGCATGTTTGATTTTTTTTTATTATTAGCTTTTTTGTTAGGAGTGTGGCGATGATTTAGTGTTGGGGCCGTCGACTCCCCTCACTTCCGAGCCAGTGAGTGCATGTTTCTGTGTGTGGTTCAAGAGTGTGTGGTAGTGTTGGGGCCGTCGACTCCCCTCACTTCAGTGCATTACTTTTTAATATTTATTAATATTTATGATCTATCTTGTTGTTACCTATTGTTAAGTTTTTTTTATTTTCTTCAGAGTTTACCGTACCTTTTGTACATTGTTCGCTTCTGTAAATTTGCTGTTTTTGCCGCCATACTATGTATTTATTTTGTAGTGTTTCATAATTTTGGGTTTCCTTATATTTAGTTTCTACTTTGTTAATATTTATAGTATTATTGTTCCTGCATGTTAACTAGTCTTTATTGCCACTTGCTGTGATATTTATCATATATTTATTTTCTCAACTTTATTTTGTTAATTGAGTGTAGGTATAGCAGATAGTTGTAATGGTCGCATGTATTATTACGTAATTTTTTTTTGGCCATCTGTATAGTATAAAATTGCAATGTGAAAATGTAAAATGGTGTTTGCCGTATACAAAATAAATAAATAAATAAATAAATAAATAAATAATAAAATTGTAAAAAATACCTACTGACCTTTGGAATCAAATCCAACAAGCCTTTTACCAAAGTAAATCTCATATTGGGTAAACATTGATATTGGTTCGAAATGTTATTTGGTTTTGTAGTCGTTATTTTATTTTGTTTGACAAAATCCAATTATCTAATCCCGGGTTGTTATGTTTGTAATAGGTTTTACGGTTCGCTTGTATTTAAAACCGTAATTGACTGTCACGGGCAACCATTACGATATCGGATGAGATTTGGAAACATAAAATAATAACACTTAACCCAAATAATAGATAAAATTGTCGATGGAGCAAATATATGAATCAGCTCTGACATTAGGTTTGTAATATTAGTTAGAGTGATAAACTAAACTCTCTTTAATAACCTAATTGAAAAATGATCATCACCATCTGTTAAGTTAAACAGAGGTATGGTTTATTTTTACTAGAAAATTACACTCTTTGATTGATAGAAGACTTGTTCTAAAGGAAATTTTGAATCTGAGCCAAGTTTTGACGGGAAAAGACATCTGCAATCAACAAAATGTCAGCTTTTGTAGCAGCCAAAATGTTGGATATCATATTCCGTATTGGTTCAACAAACTTCATATCAGTTGAAAAGATTTTCTTTTGTAATACAAGAATTAGTAAAATTAGTATGCCACAGCTGTGTTTTGTTTTCTTTTGTTGTATTGTAGTAGCCTATTACAAATGGTAATTTTTCCTTCTTAATCAGTTAAAGTCTACAGTTTATCGTCAGAAGATACTAATACTGTGATCTTACCTCACTAAGGAGTTTGGTGACGCTTACCTGAAAAAAAACACATGTTAGCAAGTTGAAAAAACATTATCTATAGAGACTGAAAGACAGTATTAAAACAAAATTATTAAAACCAGACAAAAACTCATATTTTATTCATATAGAGTTAGAATATAAGATGTAATTTATAAACACGTCAAATAACACATGTAATAATAAATGTATACCTGTACTGTTACTCACAAAACGAAAAATACATATTTTTATAGGACCAATAGATGTAGAAACAAGTGAATCAAGCTAGATGCGCTCAAAATATTATCAAACGATTACTATATTACCTTTATAACTTCGTGAAAAACGTAATGTAAAACCTAACATTTTATATTACAACTGTTAATAGTTGAAAAGGTTGAACACATAATTGTCATTTTATTACTCCAATAAATTTGGAAATGAAAGTTTAATAGATACAGAAAGTACACAACCACATCCAAGAGGGTAAACAACATACAATCTTAAAACAAGTAAATAAAATATGTTTAGAATACTATGTTATTTGATGTATCTATTTGATGTATCTAACGAGTAATTAACGTACGGGTAGGTTTTTAGAAGCAAATTTAAAATATAACTGTTAAATTTTTTCAGTTTAGTCTGTAGCGTAGCCAACTAAGAAAGTACAGTAAATGCATCAATCTTAAAAACGTATTTTATGTAGGAAAATATGTATGTCATGTTCAGCTCAATAGAACGCTAGAAGGTAAAAAAGGTTCACATTTAATGTGAAAGTTCTATGTTGAAGACCACTTTACTAGTAATGCATTAAGTGATTAAATTCAGAAGAGCACTCGATGTAGGTAAGCATGGCCCTTTCCTGCTTATTAAAATATAGTGCTACTATGGAATGTGAATAATAAAGGAGAATTTTATATAACAATTTCAAAAAATGACATGTAATTGCGTTATAAGAATAGTTCTTAAATTTGGTAGGTTTCTATAATTTTATTCAATAACGCTGTAAAGAAGATAATTAAATTTTTAATATGATTTTTATAAAATCTATTATAAATTTTATTTAAACAATCTGTAAAGAAGGTAATCCAACTTTAAATTAGAAAAATGTAAAGAAATGTAAAAAAAAACTTTTGTTAACTAGAAAACATGCAAAACTTATTTTACTATGCAAATGAAATTAAAAATATTGACAAACATATAAAATTCATTGTTGTAGCCCCGGAACTGTAATATATAAAATATCTGGTTTTACAATACCTTTATCAGTTCCAAAAGTAACTTTCGTCAACGTGTGTTACATGTTTCGGCGAGCTGCCATTGTCAAACACTTCAATACAGGAAGATTACTTTTGGAACTGATAAAGGTATTGTAAAACCAGATATTTTAAACATATAAAAATTGTGATATTGGAACCATATGTTGGTTTTAATGCAAAATATACATTAAAATATTTTTATCTAATTAAATTCATGACAACTAATGAGTTCATTTGAAAATTAAAATAGTTATTGCAATTTAACAACAAGCTGAATTGTAACTAAAACACACAAAATATATACTGAAATAGGTATAAATATAGTTCAAAACATGGCAAACGATCCAGTGAATATTTTGATAAGCCAAGTGAATAAATAAGTTTGTTATTGAAAAAATATCAATTATATTATAACAATACTCCCGCCGCAGCAAACCTGCAGACTTAGCGAATTTCCATTTGCCTGATTGGATTTAGACTAAAATGTCTCCTTAAAAATATCACATTTATTCCCTATTTAAACAGAATTAGTTTAACGAGTACTTAGGTTTGCTGCAACAGGGAGGGTAAAAGAGTTGTTTTTATGTAAAATGTTTAAAGGTACTGTGGTTTAGTAAGAAATTAATGAATTTTCCAAATTTGATCAAAATATGTTCATAAACAAGCAAACTACAACAGTTGACTTTATTCTCCATAAGAATAACATGGAAATTTTAAAATTACAATTTTTTTTAATTTTCTCCGTAACAATTAGGCGCATAATAACGCTTCAATATACTAAATTATTTGTTTTTTTAAGCTCTACAAAATGGTTTAAAAAGAAATTGTGAAATTTTGTGTTTTTAGGGTCAAAAATGGGAAAAACCCATTTTTACCCCATAAAACCCCCCATAAACCCCCGTTCCCATAGTCCGATCATGCTGGTTCGCGAACTCATTCAAGTTTATCCTGCCTTACACCTTCACACCAAATTTTATCAAAATCGGACAAAAATTACTCAAGTTATCGTGCGGATGGACACATATATATATATATATATATATATATATATATATATATATATATATATATCTATATATAGATATATAAAAATTTGAACGAATGGTGTTTTTGGCCTCTGGGGACATCAAAATGAAAAAGTAAATCGGTCCCGGGCTTAGGTCTTACCATGAGACCTACGGTAATAGCTACTTCCCTATAGGGAAATTCGCTAAAAAGTGGTATTCCTTCTTCATGAGATTGGTTTTTGTAGTATTTTATATCATATATTATTATTCTCATTCTAAAATATTTACTTTTGTTGGAATCTACAATTATTAAATTAATCAATAATAAAACAAACAACGCAGGAAATAATTTTGATTTCAAATCAATCAGATACATGTTTTGCTAAAGAATGTCCATATGAGAAAATGTGTTTATTTGTAATGACGCCAATTACATTTCATTCGTTGTACTTGTGTCTGAGTCAAATATAATGAACTACAAAGCCTTTTATAAATAGTATAATAATACGTAAATGATGTTTATTGTCACATATATTTGTGTATAGTTAATTATATATTAGCTAGTTTTGAGCTAATTAGCTAGTTGTAGTTAGTTTCCTGTTTTTTAGGTTGTAAATATTGTTTGAGTAAACAAAAATTTCTAATTTGTTAGTAAATATAAATGTTTAGCATTTTCTTGAATTCGAATGAATTTACATTTAATAAAAATGGCTTTGGATATACTTCTAGGCTGTTATTGAGTAATTATATTTAGCTTAGAGAGTTTTTTAACCCAGAAAATGTGATTGCTTACCAACCGCAGATGTAATATCATTAACTATATACGTTCGTACAAACATAGTCCATGGTATAAAGTCAATAGTAATCTACTGCATATGGAAACCCAAGGTATATGTTCTGAGCAAAGCTCACAAATGTAGGTTGACCATGAAGCTATCATGTGGAGTGGCTTTCTATGTTTCTTCCCTAAAGTCCTAACATTGGATAGTTTGAGAAACCCAGGAAAATACCTACCTTCGTATGGTCACAATTTCAATTAAAAGTATTTAAGATATTATAAAGGTGACATGAATAGTAGTAGGTAAGTTAGTATGAATAGTAGATTAATCTAAATTGAAGAAGACTAATAAGACTAATATAGGAAAACAACTCTTGAATAATACACACACTGATATTTAACTTTTCTTTTATTTAAAGGAAAAACTTACAATCTTTCGGGATTTGAAAGCTAGTTCTACAAGTTCTAGTTGAACGAGACGATCATGTGTTTCGTATTTTAAAGTACAGATGAATCATAGTTAGTTGAATTTAAAAAGTGCTTAAATACAATGGAAGTTATAAACAACCA